GCTATTCTTTCACTATGTAAATTGTGTAAATTTTTTAGCTAAACGTAATGTTTCACCACTGGAAGAACCACAACCTTCTCAGAGATCACCATTTGAACCAAACCCAGATTACATACATTAAATTTTTTAATTTTTTTTGTAGTTGTTTTTTATCTAACAATGTAGTTTAACAATCGCTTCCATTCCCCAATTTAACCATTTTTTAGATCTTTATGGATCTGTTTCCTGTATGTTTCCGTCATAGCTAGATATATATATATAATAAGACTATTCCATCAAAATATTGATTTATTTATTAAGTAATACACACTACCTATAATTAACCTAAACTGGAATTATATACATAATATATTGACACTGAAATATTATTTTGCACCCATTTTCTTGACATTTATAGACTGTAAATCCGTCATTATTCCAATGTTTAAATTTTTCAACCGATGAATTCTGTCATTATTTGTTTCAATATAAAGTAAACTTAAATAATTATTCTTATGCTTATATATGTTTTTCGAAAAAAAGCTTAAAATTAGAAACATAGGTGTTTTTATTAAACCATGAATCTGTAGACTGTAATTCCGTAATTATTCCAATGTTTACATTTTGTATGTGATGAATTCTGTTATATTCTTATGCTTATATACATTCTTTTTCAAATAAAAGCTTACAAGTAGAAACTGCAGTGTTTTCATTAAACCATGGAAATTTCTGATCATTGGCCCACATAAGCTAATTAACATTAGATTACAATTTCGTTAAAATGGAGACCGACGAAAAATAACAACGAAACGAAATTAAATTTTTTTTTCATGTAAGCCTATTGATATATTGACTGAACTAAATCTTCACCCTCTTTAATGCCTCAAAAATTGGTTCCAAGTCTTATTCATTCCTCGGCTCTAACCGTGACGATATCACATCCGTATATCAAGTCGGAGGAACGGTTAGGACCAGATTTGCAATGCAAGCCAAGCTTTCCTAATGTAATCACAGTAATCTCCAATATAAATGCAAGCGCGATATTCGGACTCAAGCACATCAAGATTATCCATTTACGAATGAAATATCAGTAAAATCACCAACGCGATTAAGATTAAAGTTCTAAATTTGGTGCATGGACATCGACTACTGTAACTGCTCTGAAAATACATAATGGAAATAAAATTAGTGTCAAACTATATCTCGTCTTTTGGCAAATAATAATCTTTTCAGAAAGGTCTGCTGTTGACATTTAAACATAGTACGGAGTCACAATAATGGCATAAGATAACCACAAATCCAGTCTAATGAAAATTAGATCAACTTTCGTTCCATTTTTTTTTAATAGCTTTTAACTTCAGTTAGGTTCTAAAGACGGGCCTCTTAAAATTCGTCACAATTTTTTACATTTTGTGAGAGAGTGAAGGAATTTGATTGGTTAAAGCATCAGATAAGGTCAAAAGGTTATTTTGACGAATGTTTTAGACCCTAACTGAAGTGGCCATATTAGAAATAAAAGCTAATAAAAAACGGAACCAAAGTTTGATCTAATTTTAATCAGACTGGCCGCAAATTGTGAAAATCGGGATCCGCAGCTCTTGTAGACAGTAAATAGGTTTCTATAGAATTGTGAATTCAAAGTAAGCATTTTCTGTTCTTCGCACAGCACTATCTACATTATGTACCCAGTATCCAAAATGCCCATCCTAAATTCTGAATTTGTTTTTACTGAACATCTGGTCAAAAGGAACTAAAAGATAGCTTGCCAGGCATGGTAATAGACGCCCACTGGCAGCTTTGATTTTCAATAAGGTCCAGTCCTGTGGTAATAATTTCTCAAAATCTCGTCAAAATCTGTCGAGAATTTTGCCTTCTGGAGTGTTTAAAAGCAACAAGCAAACAATTGTATGCGTTTTCAAGAACAAGTGTAATAACTCATACAAAGTATTTTTAGATTCTTCTGATTTTCAATAGGGTTCATCCTTGGGTGATTACAAACACTCAAACCAAGTTTCATCAAAATCCATCAAGATTTGCGCCTTCTACGTGTATATGAGCTAAACTTGAACGCGTTTACAAAAACAGTGGCAATTACTCATACTTTTATTTTTCATTTTTTTTTATTTTTCAATAAGGTGACGCCAACATACATTCCCGTTTCACGTGGGCGTATAAAATTAGAATCTTTGAAGAAGATGATTTAATTTACCCTATTTCGTGACTGTTGGATTCAGCCTCACAAATAGGAAATACATTTCCTGTCTCAAGGCGACTCTTGTTAGCAACGTGACGTTTATCTTGTTCCTTTGCAGGAATCAAACCCACTCCTCTCTTTTCCTTACTAGGTAGATAATTCATATCATCATCACTGAAACTAAAAATTTAAAGTAAGCTGTAAAAGTTCAAATGATGAGTTCGAATTAGCTATTTTTATATTTATATTAGCTGTTTTTTATATTTCTATAATGTCTTGCACTGGATTTCGTTGTGTTTAAAAAGATTGCTACTCACTATGACCGTCTGCTTTTTTCAGCCTTGTGGCTTCGTTGGTAACTTCGTACATCATCAAATTCTAACTGGAAGAAAGCAATGAAACAATAACATGACCTTTTGATCATTTACCCATATATATTATTGTAAGCCTTAAAGTGATACTACGTATTAGAATAATCATAAAATCTAAGTTCTCAAGAATGGTTAATATGAGTATATATTCATCAGTGAACTTACCTGGTGTTTATGGATAATTACTAAGTTTTTTTTTGGATTTATCGGATTATACAAAGATCCTGTTATGTTATTTATGACACCAGGTATATCTACTGATGTATATATGCTCTTATTGGCCAAGTTTAAAATTTTAAAATTTTATGTTCATTCTAAGACGTACGTATTCATTTAAGATAAATGTTGTTCAGTACATATAATACTATTCAGGTATATGGTAAAATCTACTATCACAATGTTAGGTTATTACGAAACTTCTACCTTGACTGCAATAGTCACTATTCTTGTATCACCGAATGCAACGATTTGATTGGATTTTACAACCAATCATACTCCTTGACATAAAGATTGTTCGGTAGCGTACAATCAAATCAAATCGCTGAATTCACAGACTTGTGCTCGTAATAGCTTTACATTGTGGAAATGGGTAAATCTACCACTAGTATAACAATATTTAACATTATTTATTTTGACATGCCATTTATACAAAGTCTAATCTTCAATAGGTCCCACTAAACTACACATTATATAAAAGATAACAAAAACACTTTCAAAAACCATATCTTTGTCATGGTTCGTTCTCGGATTAAGCCAAACCAAAAGGTCCCATTGACGAAAGTTGAAAGGACAGCTGCGCCATTTTTTTGACCAAGCATACTTTAGTCTCAGAAACGGGAGGTTTTTAGCTAAGCCATTCAGTTGATCACGGGCCACCGTCGATATTTGAGCCTTAAAATGCATGTGTGTCTAGAATTATCCGTGTTGAATGTTAAACCAATAACGATAAATTTATATAGAGCTATAGAGAATCAGATCATTTTAGCGACTGTCACAGTCAATGCATCTTAGTCATCTTACATCTGAATCTGTAAAATGTACTTTGTACTGTGGTACATCATCAACATCCGTGGGTTCGGCAATGTCATCTTCTAATTCAAGTCCATTCATACCACTAGTTAATAATGTAGAAAACCTGAAACAAAAAGGATATATCATAAACAGACTTAAACTAAGAAACAATTAATTAACTATAAAAAATATTTATAAATTTGATTCGATGCAAATCTTGACATCCACATTTCATCTGTGATCTTTCGAAATGATTATGCATCTCATGTTATGGATCATAGAATATACAACCAATCATAATCTCTGTTCATTGAGACACATGAATTGAGATAAATTTCGTAATATATGAATCAAGACCACTTAAATGCAGTAAAACTCTGATATCTGGTTACACCATGTCAAGCAAGATAAATATCAGATCGTGATCTATTTTAGTGATTCTTTAGTTTTACTTACCTTTCTGGATCATATAATCCATCTGCATTATAAGGAAGACTAGAAAAAATCTGAAACAATGAAAATTACATATATATTACATATTGAATTAATTCCCTTTATCACCCTGAATGTTAAATGAAGACAGAATGGACAAGAAGATTTCTAATGCATTATACACTGCAATATACAGACCTTAAAAAACATATCCCTGATTCTTTTACATACACCTCTCAATTCTACAATCATAACGTTGACTCTTTTACAATTTTCTTGAATTTCATAAAACATTCTAAAAGTAAATCACAAGATCTAGTTAACCATTCAAGGGACGTAGGTGATATCGGATGTCGGATTGCTACTGATAGTGTCAAAAGACACAAATTTTAAATTCTGGATAAATATACTCTACAATGATAATTTTACTAGATTATGTTTATAAAGCATTAAGAATATCAGCTAATTATAGACGGGATTATAGCTGGTGTCAAATATTAAAACATCTGTCAGATACTCTAGGTTTAACTGTACTTTGGGATTACCAGCATTATATTATCTCTTAAAACAAATGATCAATATATGCAAATCTAGAACAGCTCGAGAAACGAGAGTAGTAAATTGTTTTATTATAATATATTTTTTAAGGGGGGCTCAACCATATGATTCAAAAAGTCAATAAAGAAACTATATATATACATTGAAAATATGTGTTTTAGTGTTTCACGGGGTTGACAATCAACAATGATAATAATCAACAATTACACCAGCTGTAAGCGAGGGTGTTGTACAGCAAACCTACTTATAAAACAGTTTAAGTCAATTCCTGCTGTTATTTGGTGTTCAAAAGTCATCTGACAATTAAAAGCCTTAAAATTGCTCTTTGTCTATATAAAACGATAAAAACAGGACATTTTAACGTTAAGGTTGAATAATTTTCAGGGGGGGGGGGGGCAAATATTTATTCCTTATTACTTGCACTTACAGTATACATTACTTATTTGTTTAATGAAACATGAAATATCGCTTATATCGGATGACCCAGGAAAAACGATAACACCCCTAGCTACGGGCCTGATTATCACGTTTTAGAGAAGAAGAAGAAATGTTTATTAACGTTTTCAATGTAGTTCATACTGTATTAATATTGAAAGTGGTAGGTTTGTTAAAGCTGAAAGAAATACCCGAGTATGTATAATGATTGCAATCTAAATACAATAGAAGACAAGATCAATTTCTTATTAATATGTCCTTTTTATCAAGATCGTAGATCACGGTTTTTACCCAAATATTACTACGTATATCCTTCCTTAGAAAAGTTTTCCACAATTATGTCCTCAAACTTGAGCCTGGTTTTAAATTCTTTAGCTATATTTGTAATTTTTGCTTTTTCCGTGAAATATATATTTGTGTATTTCATTTATTTATTTATATTGAATGTACATACGTTTCTTTCTGTTCTCTGTTTTGTTTATTTTCTGTATTTGTTTACAGCTAAAAGATTTTATCTTAATGTTCAGTAAATAAATTTAGATTTTTAAAAAACCTATATTAAACATTCAAGACAATCCACCGATTAGACGAAAATACCCTTTTAAAACTGTGGTCATCATTTAATGACTCTTGCTTTCAAAGAGTCTCTTGAACTAAGCCACATTTGTAATTTCCTTTTTGGACAATGGTATAGTTATCAACGTTTGTTGGAATACCGTGTCTGTCCCAATAGGGTCACTGCTTTCATGAGATTCATTACTACTCCTTTCACCAGACCCGTAACCGTAACCGTAATGTGCCAAGGCTTTAATTGATAATTTGTTCTAATTTTGCCCCCCTCCCCCATTTTAGTTACGGGCCTGCCTTTCACCTCAGCTGAATGTTGAATAAAGTAATACATACCCCTCAAATATCTTAAATCTTTCAAAACTCTTCTGTTTATTGACCCAGCAATGATCCTGCCACAAGGCCAGACCTGAAGCACATACTTCTTCAGCTTCACTCCTGAATTAAAACAAAAATTTACAATAAATAAATCAATTTGCAGTGAACATGATATTAAAAAGTTATATCGGATTATAGTATCGCGTTTGCACATTCTGGCTTATTACTGTCAACGAAAAATCACACTGCTCTTCTGAAGTCCTTTCTTCTATTCTTGTAAACTTCCATAGTATAACAGACTGTTATTTCATCATGAACCAGGTTACTTTGGCATCAGAAGATTTATTGGTTAAATGCTTTGTACAGATGTAAAATACATGAATCAAAATGAACGAAGCTTTACACCAGAATAATCCGATGGCCAATTCCGCTATTTACATATTTGGATATTGATCTACACACACCTGCCATGGAGATGCTTTATAAGTTAAAATCTTAATTCCAATGTGATACACATGAATCAAACTAGACAACAGTTCCGTGGGAATCTATACAGCAAAATAATCAAAAGGTCAGTTACGCGTTGGATTTAGTAGGGTATCAGACTCTGTAAGTTTACAACCATCCTCACTATGTCAAGCTCGTATGAAGTTCATAATAGCTCGATCAACACCTACCTGTCATGAAGATGCTGTATATTTTCTTTTTCTCCAAGAATTTCTTTAACTTTCGTCTTCTTCATTCTGCCCATGATAACTTTTATTTTCTGCTGGTAACTTTTAGCTTTTCTACAACTAAACCAATAAAAAGTATATGATAATTTTCCGATAAAACCATGATAATGTTCTCTAAACTTAGTCACCATATGTATCAAACTCTCTGGGCTGGTTTTGATCAAGAGTAAATAACTAAACTGTGGTGTTCAGGTGAGTTTGATGCACTCGCATGTCCGGAGGTCTGTGATCCGATCCTAGTATAGGACGAGACATTCCATATCAGAAAGTACTATCTTTTCTGAAAATACTAGCACTTCAATGTTTGGGTGTCCACCATTAGAATATTAATCTAAATGGATGTGTGTCTTTGAAAGTGTCTGTGGACATTACTTTAGCCGTTATGACTACAATACAGTTGATGTGAAGCAGATATTACGTAACATACCAGTCAGAAGTACAAACATCAACAGCTATATGAGAATCGTGTAAGTATTTCTCAGATTTGATTTTTAATTCAATAACACGTTCTTTTACTGACTCTAACTTGGACTTCAGCTACAAAACATGAATACAGTGTTACTTATAGTATCCTATGAAATTCACAAATGAAATACTATAACAGTTACTATGCAGAAAGTATCCCTATAAGGTCTTGAATTTACAAAGGGAATGCTTCTAATGACAAAAAACTGGACAAGGCTGTGTTCTGCTTAAATTTAGAAATTAGTCTACTTATACTAGTTTGTCCATAAATTACATTAAATATATTAGATACAACCGAGAGTCACAACCCATCCTAAGCAACACATAGCAGTTTCATTGACTATTCCAACGAAAGTTTACTAATCTGCACCGAATGTAAAATGAATCGTGGTTCTCTCAACTACTCGCATCGTAATGATGCGGTCAATAACGCACCGCTCGTTATTCCGTCACGGTACGACTAATCCAACGGCCATTTTGTTTACCTGTTCTATCAGAATTTTCAGTGCTTCATAATCATCGGCTTTCCTTCTATGATCTTTCCAAGAATATAAAACTCTCCATGTCGCAAACATGTGCCTTTGAGTTCTGTTCCGGATCAACCGTAAGTTTTCCAACTGGAAGTCAATTTGTTGACTAGCTTCTTTCAAACATTCATAATTCTTCTCTACTTTTAATTTATATGTCTTCATCATAATCCTGGAATATGATTTAAGCATTATCTCACTATAATGGAAATGATAAAAGAAATACCGAAATGGCAATCTATTGAAGAAAGGTGACATTTGTAAAAACATACAAACCTTTTGAATTCAACTTTATATATTGTATTCTGTCAAAATAGAAACTTAAAATACTATATCAATTGGAAGATTTGCGAGGTATTTATAAATAAATTAAAGGTTTGATTAAAGATCAGATTTCAGATGTTACTTACCACATTGCTGAGACTGTTTTGGTGATATTGAGTTGAAAACTGAGAGATTGAGATACTAATAACATGATATTATTAATAATTTCACATCGTTTAGAAGTTACTTGATAATCTTGATTAATAGTATTAGTGTTATGGTAAACCGGGAACGGTTCTGAAATATAACATACACTGATGAAAGAATATTGCAAATAGATAGATATTAGAACAAGCAATCTATTAATTCTAAAAAAAAATTCTATTTGTCCCAAAAAAAAAAATTCTCTGATTGTTAAGAGCATTCTGATGAACAGTCTCATAGCACAGTTCTATGGATAGAATTTGGCAGAATTTGGGCGAATTTGGCAGAATTTGGGCGAATTTGGTAGAATTAGGGCGAATTTGGTAGATTCGAACATAAGATCAAGGGTCTTACACATAAAAAAATATATATGTACACTCGGACTACATTGTTTACTGAATTGAAATATAAACTACAAAATACTACTGAGAATCTTTAAGTTATCATTTGTAAACACGCTTTTACAGAAGAGAATTTTCAGTTCGAAAAGTAGGTCATTTTTCAATCCTTACCTATGTTGAACGGATTTAGTTTTTTAGCTTTGTGTTTATCCATCAATGTAAGATAGTTTATTGAAGGTGGTTGATGTAATAGCTCATCTAAATTTAGATTTTTCTGTATCAAGTTTTCTAGTATCTGATCATTATAAAATAATACTTGACGTCCAGCTGATATATCTGTATACTGGGCTATCTGATCTTGTAATTCTGCAAAACTGATAGAAAAAATCGAAATCACAATTCAAATATGTCCAGAGCTATTGAATTTGCAACGGACAAATTATGACGTCATATATATAACAAATACAGCTGACGATGTTCCTCTCTTTTCTGATGCTCAAGGTCCTAAAATGACCAATATTTTGTCAAATGAATGACCTGTAAAAGATGCACAGTCAACAAACGCAATTGAAGCCAAACTAGAGCCAGTAAGTAGAGACGTGCTGACAGAGAATATCTAGAAAGTGCTTGGAGAGGTATGAGTCCGGAGGTCTGGGGGCCGCCAAATATTTCAGATGGCCGGAGATGAATTTTGAGCATTTCAAGGGCTTAATTTAATTTTCTCTTCAAAATACGACCTTTAATTGGTCTGAATGGCGTGGTTGGTAGTGTTCTACTCAAGCATTATACAGCTTCTAAAAAAATCCTAAACCTGCGCCAAAGACCATAATAAAACTATAGTGTCACTTCCAAACCATAATTTTGTGACTTGAGCAAAACAAGGCTCCACACCATTATCAGTTTCTTTGTTTTCTAACTGTATAATATTTAAGGCTGGTAAAGTACGATAGTACAGACGTACCTGTTTGACGCGTCGAAATAAAGAGGTAGTGTGGTTCCATCATTGGTAAAATGAATTTCAAGTTGAAACTTAGTTGCTAGTTTCTTCTGGAAATCGAACAATGATTCATGGGAAATCTGTTTCCTGTGATCTGCTTCCAGAAGAGAAGCGACTAATCCTTTCATTATTTCTTGGAGATTTCTAAAAGCATATAGTGGTTCATGATACAAATGTTTCAAAATGTTACCAGCATTTTGTAGTGTTCTAGTGACGTTTGCTTGACAGTAAATTGTACATATACAGCTGTTTGCTATCACCTGGATCACAAAACTTTGTATAAACAAATGGTCTGCGGACAGAAAAGTCGGATGATACAATGGTTTGCTCATGGAATAACATTACGTCTATGTGCCTATTTGCTTAATTTATTTTCGTATATCTATATGTTGAAGTAAAGTTAAAACAGACTGGTTTGCCCGAAATTAGCTGGTTAGCCCGTCTCCTCCTATTGTAAGTTTAGTGTCAACTAATGCTTTTGGTATGAGATAATTCTATGAACTATACCTTGACATAGGACAGTGTTCAGGAAATCTGTTCTCCCAAATAGGATCACCCCCTGGACTATTCTGGTAGGCGGAAATACATCCTGCAGGTTTTAACGCCACCATTTGAAACCTTAAAGAACAATGTGAATCAAAGTTCACAGAATTTTTATAGTTTAAGAGTATAGTACATATATAGTTTGAACAAAAAATGGCAAGAGTGGCTTCTAGTCCCTTTTCCGGTTTTAGAGGGCACTAGTCATGGTGGGTGTTTTTGGAAGTTTTTAGAATGAATTGTTCTATTTCTATGGACTGAGTGTAGTAAGGGGGGGGGCAATTTACTGCCTAAATACGTCACTGATCTCTTTGTCACCTTTGTAGGAAGCATTTTTTATATCAATGCTTAGAGGTTGACCAAGTATCAGCTGGTAGACAGGATGCTCGTGGGTTGTTTTCCTTGTTAGAAATGTTTCTTTCTTTCTGTCAGTTGTTTAGACTAATTTTCTAAATAACAATTATTTGACTACATAACTAAATACCCTTACATTATAGTTCTGTCGTTCCTGGCACCATCAAATGGTACAAACGGCATCCTGGAACTGATAGCTTGGAATAAAGTACAACCAAAACTCCACAAATCTGTACCACTGTTAAACGGTGTGACTTGTTGTCTGTCTATAAATGCTTTTTGATATACTGCTGGATGCTAAACAAATGAAATATAGTACGTGAGAAAAATGGAATAAAGACATGTAGCTTTGGTCAATTGGGAACCACATAAATCTAGATTTTATATTTATTTACTCCAGCCAATAACTGTCAAAATATTTATCACAGGCTAGAATGGGGGGGGGGAGAGATGTTTCGGACTACATGATACCCGAGGGTTTGAATATCTTGTTTACTAATGGTATAAGCTTAAAAGCACCGAGATTGAAAATTAACCGATTAGAACTTTCAAAAGGTTCAAAGCCATGGAATAAGGTCTCGTGCCACGCTCGGAGCTGTTTTTACAGTATTTAATTCATTTCTGTCAAAATAAGTTGAAGGTTTACGCGGACCTATACACACCCATTTCTTATTGAAGGCACTTCTCAAGAATAAGACAAAATAAGTCTAAATTAATTGTATTCTTACCAAAAACTCTTCTGTTCCAACCAATGAAAGGTATTCTTCTTCTGGATTTGATAGTCTTCTACTTGTTCCAAAATCACTGATGATGTAAATTGGACTGAAATTTCAACATGATATTTTGAAAAAAATGATAATTCGTACAGGCAGAATAGTCTGCAGATGGATTTCCAATAAAGAACATAGGAGCGATAATAGAAAATTTTCTTACGTCAGATCTGGTTTTTTGTCCCTAAGTATATTTCCGGGCTTCAAGTCCCTGTGTATTATACCATTACTGTAGAGATATTCCAATCCAGAACCTGAAAAAAAAATAATTACTGCAGCTCCGAAACCATATAGCACTTTTCCAGAATGAAAATTCGTCAGAGAATGAAAAATCGACAAAAATGAAAATTAGATAAAGAAATATAGAGAAACTTCATTCTAAATTTTACGTATTTGATGACGGTTGAATTTCAATTTGAATTCCATTTCAATTAATTTCAAGCTGCTCGGTGTTTAATTCGATAGAATTAGGTGAATGGAATCTGCATGAACAATGGTACCGGTAGCTAATATTGTGCTTTAACGCGAATTATACGATATATTCCATTACAGTCATTTACAGGAG